ATCACAAGAGGAAAATACCTCACAAAATAAGTGAACCAAATCTCCAAGAACAAACCGCAAGAAACCCAAATATCAAGTGAAGAAATGTTACCCACTTGAAGAACAAATTTGCAGATTTTTCTGGCACCAAAAAAGGAGAAGAAGAAGGCTGAATTTTTGTTGAACCAAAGACTGCTGAAAATATGTCTTCTTGCCAAACCAACCGAGAAATAGATGAACCAAAGAAAAGGACAAAACTTATAGTCTTTGATGGCTGCCAAATTCCTTTTTAACTAGAAGACTCCAAACCAAGTCTTGGATAAGAGTCCTACACGGGTAAGCCACCAAAAAATTAGCAAATTGATGAGTCCCACAAAGGAGGGAAACCCAACAATTCGAACTAAAATCCACACATTTATTAGATTCAACCTTTTTCCTTCCTCATTTATTTGATATGTAAGCACCACCAACCTTATCATAGACTTTTACCCAGTACTGAAAGTTACAGTGTTTCCCAAACTATGTGCTGTCCATGGGCTTCCAGTCCCACCTGCACCACATAGTGATTCTCATTCCCTGACCAATTAATCCTTATGAACTCACTGGCTCGAAGACCCTTTGCTGCTGCAAAATCGCTCCACTGGTGAGTCAGAGAACGCCTCCCACTTTTCCTTACTGGTGCTATGAATTCATATCTGATTCCATCACGGTCAGTTACAAGCATGATCCCATTTGCCTCTGGCAAAAACCGTGCCTGGCTGGGTACTTCTAGGTTGCGACTGACATCTGTCCCCGAGAGCCGTTTTTCAATGCATACAAGTTGGGGCTCCATTTCTTTGGGAAAAAAAGAAAGAAAAAAAAAGAAGAAAACAAGAGTCAATTTGCCACTAAGGAATAGGCAATAAGAGAATGAGGTCTGTTTTCTTTGATAGAGTACTAGTTGTTCTTGTAGTAATACACTATACCAACAATGATAAACTTTTATCGTAGTGAAACAAAAACTGTTTGTCAGAGAGAGAGAGAGAGAATTCAAACCTGGATAGAGATTCTGATCAGTGATAGAGGGGGACCTCCTGAACCGACATGTGAAGTGGAAATTAGAAGAATGGTATTACAATTACACGGGTCTCGTGCCAAAACATACTCTTCAGTAAGTGCTTAATAATTAAAATGAATTTTAGTTTATAATTGTATTAAAATATTCTCAATTTGTACTCCCTTAAAAAATTAGATTTTTCATATTGCATCCTCAATTGATTAAAAGTATTACAATACGCCCTTTTGTTAGTTACAATTTCCTATTCAGTCAAAAGTCACGTCATTAACGTTGACATAATGAGTAATGAAAACTAACAGAAGGGTCATAATACAACACTTTTAATATATTGATGATGCAATATAAAAAATATAATATTTAAGGATGCAAAATAAAATTTCTTAAATCTTCCAAAGTGCAAAATACAATTTGCTCTAAAATATTTTCAGCCGTTGGAAGGGTGCCATCATTGCTTGCATGGCAAAATGAAGAGCAAATCACACAGGCAAACGTGTCCTATCAAATTAAAATTTTATCCAACCTATATAATCTGTGTCTTGTCGTGTTTGTATGTGTATAAGATAAGTTTAAAACATTTGAGTCATGTTTAGTTGCCTTTGTTTGACCAAACTATTTCACGGATTTGCTATTTTAGCACCTGAATCCACTAAGATTGTATCTAAACATGGAAATTTCATGTCAATTATCAGAATAGTGTTTACAATTACAAGGCATAGTCTTATGCTAATTTAAAGGTGGCTTGTATCCATTACATGCCTGACTAATATATATATATATATATTAATTATTTCTTGGATTTGAAGGCACAAAATAATAAAAAAAATAGTTAACAATAAATATATTTGTATTCACACCCAAAATTAAATTATAAAAAAAAAGAAAGAAAGAAATTTAAACACTGATTGTAGCGTGGGTGAGCAGTGATAGTGATGGCTAACACCACCCACACCCAACACTACAACCGTCGTCACTCATGGTTGTCACTATTACCGTTGTCACCCAAAACCTACCACCACTATTACGATTGCGACCCACGGTGAGCGATAACGGATGGTGATGGGTTATGGTAGTGGGTAGCGGTGGGTTGTGATGGACAATAATGGTCGTGATGGGTTCTGATGGTCGGCCACAGTGGTAGTGTTAATACATATACAAATGAGATGACGATATTGGTGGATAGTGACGATGGTAGTAATCGGTGGTGGATGGCAATAGGGTGAGTGTGATGAATGTGAAGGTGGGGCAATGGCGATGGTAGTGGAGTGGTAGCTGCGATGGCGGTGGTGGTGGCGGGTGGTGGTGGTCGGTGGCTGTGGTGATGGGGTGATTATGATTATGATAGATGTGGTGGTAGGGTGGGGTGGGGTGGCGACGACAGTGATGGTTGTGGTAGTGGTGGTGGGGGTGGTGTGATAGTAGTGATGGTGGTGGTGGAGTGATGGGGTGGCGACAGTGGTGGTGGCAGTGATGTGGTGGGGATAATGGTGATGATGGCGGTGTTGGTGGTAATGGTGATGGTGATGAGACAATTTCAAATACTAATTTTTTCTTAAAGTTTTATAACAAGTTATAAGATTTAGAAATACTTTTAAAAAGTCATACCAAACACACTCTTAAAAACCTATTTTTTCTATTAAATTTGAAGTGTTAATATTAACCATAAAATTAACTTTAAAATAAATTAAAAAAATTTCAACCACCAAAAACAAAATTCTTTTTGTATATCTTTTGAAATTTGAATTATATTGTACTTTATTATATAGATTTTTTAATGAATA